AAAAAAATTGATTTAATAGAAATAAATCTCATTTATCCACTAAGTATTTGTACAATACAAACAAGAATACATAATCTTCATTTAATACTTTGTAGAATAGCCATTATTCACTTCTGTATCAACCAACCTTTTCTTGTAGTTCTCTAATGATTTTCAAATTTTAGTTGGTATTTTGATTCATTCTTCTTCACATAAATTCTTCAGACCTGGGATGTTTGTTGAAGCTCGATCGGATTTGAATTTTCAAATAATGCCACCGATTCTTGACTGGGTTTAAATCTGGGGACTAACTTAGCCATTTCAGGATATTTACATTATTTTCAGCAAGCCTTTTCTTCACAGATTTTGCATTGTGCTTGGGATCATTATCTTGTTGGAAGATCCAATCAGGAGGAAGTTCAAGATTTTCAACCGAAATCATTAAATTTGCTTCCAAAGTACTTTGATATGCTGTGGAATTCATTCTACTATCGATTACTGATATGTTGCCAGTACCTTTTGCAGAAAAACATCCCCAAACCATGATGCTGCCACCACCAAATTTCACTGTTGGAACCGAGTTCTTTTGTTTGAAGGCATCGCCATATTTAACGATTCCTAGAATTACATCCAAACTAAATTTTGGTTTCGTCTGTCCATAATACTCTTTCCTAATATGATTTTTCCTTATCTTTTTGCTTACAAACAAATTTCAACCTGGCATCTCTGTGTCTCTTCAATAGCAGTGAAGTTTTCCAAGGGGAGTGTGATTTTAGATTGTTCCTATGAATTTCATTGTTTATTGTCTGTTTAGTAATACAGATTCCTGATGAAAGCAATTCATCCTGCAACTCATGACAAGTAACCATTGGATTTTGTTTAATTTGACATATTTTTGTCAAAAGATCTTGCAGAAATCTTCCATGGAGCACCTGTTCTTCTTTGCTTTTCAATAGTTTTGAGTTTTTTATAAATTGCAATGAATGAACTAATGGTAGTAAATGGAATATTTGGGTTGTCTGAGATTTTTCTGTAACTTTTACCTTCTTTCAAGAGTTTAACAATGTTCTTTTTGCGAATTTGTCAATTCTTTACCTCTTGCCATGATGAAAATCTTCAATTACAGAATGTTCCGTTTGTATTTTTTAGGCTAAAAATAACTAATGATAACATTGTTACATTCTAGAATATTCCCCTTGGATAATCTAGAGTATTAAAGTAATTTCAAAGTATTAAAATCTGAAATTTGCATTGTACAAATACTTTTTTCACCCATTAATATGGATAAATAAGATTTATTTCTATTAGATCAAAATTTTTTTCTGTTTTCTATGCATATTTAGTTATTATGCATCTGTGTACAGTTAATTATATAAAAAGTATGTTTATTCATTAGTTGGAAATACAATAAATTAAAAACTTGTAGGTGTATAAATATTTGTCCAGAAAGTTTGTTCAAATAAGACAAGGGAAGTGTTCAAGATGATATGATTTGAAATAGTTGACACAGAGGTTCACTTTGTACTGTTTAACATTCACCAAATCAAAGCGTTCGGGACTAAATAGTTTAAAGAAAAAATCTATTTTATTCTTCCCAGTGTCTAGAATATTTACTGGTCTGGGATTTCCTCTGAATATGGCAACTTTGACTCCTGAAAGCTGATCGCTCCATTCCAATGTCAGTTCATCATCATCACCACTGTCATCTTGGTTACAGGTTAAACTTGTCAACGACACATCATTATCAGAGTCAGATTCTGAGATTAGATCAATATCTAATAAATTCTCATCATTTTCAATGCATATCTCATACAATTTTTGTGCTCCAACTACATCAATTTCAGTGAATCCTTCAAAAATATCACTTTACTGTCAGATGCCATGCTTGTTTGTAAAACTTTTCATTCAAAAAATAGCTTAATTCTCTCTCAAATCTAGCTATCCAGATGCTAAAATTATTCATAAAACATTCCTTTATTGGTTAAAACAAAAAATAGCTTCCTAAATCATCCAATCACAGTGCATTATACATCAGAAATGAACATGTCAGAAAGCACAACTTCAGGAGCGAAACATAAACAATGACTACTGTCAGGATTCGACTCTGAATTAAATTATAATGTGTAATGACTAGAGTTTGGAGGGAAGAGTTAATGACTGTAGAAGCTCTTTGCATAAAAAAAAAAAAACAATATAAAAACCTACCCTCAAGAGCATTTTGTAAGAATGGGGGTCAAAATATGTTGATGGTGTTCAGAAACTAAACAAAACCTCCACTTAGGAATGAAATTACTATAAAACACGACTTTCATACAATTGCAATAAGGGAAACAAAACGAAAATGCCATAACAATCCTTTTGACAACACAAATTAACCTTCCTTGAAAATGGGTAAAATATTTGCCAAATGTGCTTGGGATAAAGACTAGGGACAATTTCTATGTGTACACTGTCCTTAAAAAAGAAAATAGATTTATTCATTTTCTACAGATTATCAATTATTATTTAAAACCAGAAAATATTTTTTAGAGTGTAAGAATTTGGTTTTGAGATAATAATGGTTTTAGTGATACAAATCTTGCTAATTAACCCATAGGTGGTGGGAGAAGAGGTGGATTCATACCTTTCATAGGGGTATTTGTGCACAGGCAAATATAACAAACCCAACAGAATATAACAATTTCAAGCCATTATCCATTAAACCACCCTCATATCCAAGCTTACAGCACCTGGTATTTTCAAGTGGTCACCCATCTACATACTGATCAGACTTACCACTGCTTAACTTCACAAAAAATAAAAATTTTGTAAAAACTCAAGAAAAATTAAATATCCTTAGAAAATTCTTTGTTTCTCATATTTAATGAAATATTTAATATATATTACATATTTAATTATTATTTATTAAAAATCCTTTTAATTTACTTATTTTAAATAATTCATTTATGTTTGATGTTATTATTATTATTTTTTATTAACGTTATCTTTATTAGACTAACTAATTTGGAATTGTTTTAATTTGTCCTACCTAAAATAACAGGTCATATTGGTTAATTAACTTAATTTGCTGTATTTCTTTCAAATCTGATCACACACATCACCCAATATAAAAACTTTCAACCAATAAAGGAAAAAAAAGTATGAAATATGTTAGGTTTAAAGGCAGTGAACTGGTTATGTGTTAAAAATTATTAACAATTTTTTATAGAAAAAAAATATATCATCAAATACTGATAATGTTTATAAACTGATATGATGTTATTTAAAAAAAAAAAAATACAGGTCATCATTTTTCCTGAGTATTTTCCAGCAATAATGAGTGCATCGTCATTAGGTCACAAATGCCTCGGTAGATATCATACTATAGTAGCACCCAAAAGTTTTTGGCCTTGGCTCATATGCGTATGGCGCTCCCCACGTAAAAGCCCTCTTCTGTCACATTCTGCCTTAGTCGGGGGGGGGGGGTAAATACCACATTTTTTATCAAGAAAGCAAATTGTACCAACTGTTTTCTTTACAGAAATAAACTTTTTGTTCCCGGTTCCATTGTGGGGGGGGGGATGCCCCATGAGCTTACCGCTTCTATGCAGGTGAACACGATACCTGGCACTGTGTCACAAAATAGAAATGCCATGAGAGCCGAGCAATTTTGCCTTGTCCCTAAGTCCAATGTACACGTAATTATTTACCACTTTAGTTTAAAAATTTGTCTTTGTGCCATATTCCGCTCGAATGTAAAATTCAAAAAAGAGCGTGACCAGAAATACTTTATCAATAAATAAAATTTATTTCAATTTTAAAACAAAATAACTTCATTTGAAGTAAACTTTTATTTTGTAGTTCAATTCCTTTTCTTTGGTGCAAATCTGGTCGTCTCTTTTTCTTGCCTGAACGTAAGGAAAACAGTTGGAACCATTTTTCGTATGTTTCAAAAACAAGAAAAAACACTGTCGTAAGCAAAATGACTTCGTCTGTAGAAAAAGCATCGTTATTGATGACATCATTCCATACATCTATATTCCAACCAAACGGACCATTCTTTCAGACAAATAATTTTGTTATTTACCCCCGTTTTTGTTTGATTGTCTATAGGTGCGAACCTTGAAAAGAAAAGTGATTAAGAACAGCATTTTTGTTTATTTGAAATTTAAAAAGAAAAAAATTATTATTAATAATAATAATTTATTAACAATTTTAATTTATAGAATTATATAACTCTGAGAATGAATGATCTCTTATTCTTACGAAAATTTTTTGGATTTGCGATCGCCTCTCAAAAAGTTGTAAAACTATTTTGTTTGGTTGAAAAAAGGAAAGGGAACTTTCTACCTTTGTACTAAAATAGAAACATTAAAATTAGATACAAAATTTATTTATTATTTTTTAAGTAGACAGTCTGATTATAAACCCTTTTTTTCTTTTTCTTAGTAAAAATCGAAACACTAAAAAAAAAAAAAAAAAATGTGCAAATAAGAACCCCACATAATTTAGGGGCCCATACAGCAAAAAATAAATCACATGTTTAAAAAAAAAAAATAGAGAGAATTTCCCGACGTCAAAGGCGCTATTCTTCCCAGCCATCAAAATAAATCTTTCAAAAATATTTACTCTGGATGCTAAGATCGAAGCTTACTTTTTATTTTATTTCATTTTGTTTACTTTCTTCTTGTTTTTTTTTTTTTATAAAATATTTTTTCAAGGTAAACCTGAGGTGCGTCCTCGAGGCCAGGAAATATAGCAACTATTTTCTCCGTTCCAATTTATTACATGTTTAAATAAAAAGAAAATAATAAAATAAAATTTGCGCAACAAAGACCATACTTAACTTTTTATCAAATAATAAAATGTTTAATAACTTCGATTTTAAAATGGCAATAGTAATTAAATTAACAAAAATGGATGATGCAATAAAAAAAACTACATCTTTAAAATTACAAGATGCTAAGTTAAGCATTTTTTTAAAGCGACACGATCGGTATTTATATATTTCGATAGAAGCTTGAAATATCAATTATTCTTACCAACAGCAGCCTCTTGGGTATTGATAGAAACTTTTACAGTCATATCGATATTTTTTCGGTCGGCAACAAGATGAAAGACTTCAGCCGGCGGCCAAGCAACACGAGAAGAGAGCCACGCAGTCGAAGACGTAGAGGCGGTGTGAGGTCCAAATATGTCGCTATGAAAAAATGTACCAGATCGTTTACGTAATTGGTTATAAAAATAGAGCACTAATAATCATACACATTTTTGTTTTATTTTTCTTATGTTATTCATATCCGCAAAATACATTGTAAAATTTAATGATGTAATTTAAGAAGAAATTATGACATCCGATATTTGAAACTAATTTAAGAAAACTAAAATTATAAAGGTCAAAAAAGAAAACTATTTTAAAATATGAAATAGTTCAACAAATATTAATTGGGGCGGGGGGGCACTTTTATTTTTTTTTCAGTTATGCGACTACATAAAACAAGCAAAAATTTGGGCAATTTTAAACGACTTTGTTTTAAATAGTAAATTATTAATAATCGTAAAATTTTAATTATCCTTTAAACAGTTAACTAGCAGTTACACAATCTTCTCATGATTAATTTTTTAATAGCTGGATTTTAAATTAAGTTAATGTTGGTTTCTGTAAAACTGAAGTGAAAATACTTTTTTTTATTCAATTAAAATTTTATCCAAAGAAAGAAAAACATTGTTTATTCTGCAGAAAGAATTTATTTTAGGCATTTAAGCGAAAATTCATTACCAAATTTTTTGAGAAGTTAAATTTAAATACATTGATTTGATCAATTTTAAAATTATAGGAAAAAAAACAGCGTAATTAAATGTTATTTTAGAATTTTTATTTCTTAAAGACAAAATAAAAGTAAGGTTTACTTTTATTTATTTTTTTATTCTTCTTATATATAAGACATTTTTCGTTTGGCGAATAAAAGAATAAATCATTTTTTAAGAAGCTAAAAAAAAGGGTTCCGTAGTAAATCGTTCAAATTCTTTTAAACAATTTCCTACGGAACACTTTTTCATTTTCACGCCTCCCCGAGCAAAAAAAAAAAAGTTTCTTGTATTGATTACAAAATTTCTGAGAAATGGCACACATATTCGGAAATGTCCCAGTTTTCTCGCTTTTTTTTTTAGTTTATTATTTTTTTTTTTTTATTTAACATATGGAAAATATTTACACAAAAAGAGTTTTTATAAGCAATTTTACATAAGCAGTTACAATTCTGAAAACAGACAAAAAAGTAAAACTAGCTAAAATAAATAAAGAAAGAAAGCTAATTTCAGGGAATTGTCCGGGACGGATTGCTATATAACGGGACAAAAAAAAAAAAACTATCTAATCCTAAAAGTGGACAAAATTTCGGTTACATAAATAAAAATCTCATATATAGAAAAATAAAAAAAAAAAAACATTGAAAATTCAAGGAGCTTTTAATTCAAATTTTATGGTCAAATTGAGACATTTGACCTTTAAATTTGAATTAAAAGTTCCTTGAATTTTATAAAAAATTATAAAAAAAATAAATTTAAATGAATGTATTATATTTATCTTTAAATGTTTCTATATTTAAAATTGGCTTTAAAAGAACCGCCAAAATAATTCGGTCTAGGTTTGTTTATTGCACTTTTCTTTCAAATGGAGGGTTTAGAAAATAATTATAAAAAGAAAGCCAGACAATTAGTTAATTAAAAAATAGCTTGAATAAATTTGATTTGTAAAACTTTGTATATGTATTGCTGCGGATTTGAATCAACTCACAGCAAAGAAAAAGGCGAAAAAGGTGTTTAAATATAAAAAATATAAGATATTTTTATTTTCCTGTTTTTACAACTAAATTTTTCTTAACATGTGTAGAATCGTAATTCTACACTTCAGTGCAAACACCATGTAAAAGTGGATCACTATGAAATCTTGTTAAAATCTGTGCAAAAGCCATCTAAGTGGATCACAGCGATATTTTTATAAAAAAAAACCCAGCTCTACACATATTTTCCAAGAATTCGCTTGCTGATTGGTTTATAAGCAACCAAGTGGGCGTCGCCATCCGCACACGCACATTTATTTTTCATCTCGTGATCGAGTTAAATATTTTGGCGCTGATTTTCTGGAGCCTATCACGTGTCCACCCAAGTAAATAAATTCAGCACGCAAATTTATCTCGCTAGTGAGCATCGTGACCACAAACTAGTTGCTAAACAAATCCACGTCACTTTATTATCTGAAATTCTTAAGTTACCTTTTAGCATAATCCAAACCTTCAGTCATCACTCATTTATCTTCATATTCAACTTCGTTTATTACACAGGAGAGAATTGCTTATCACTTCAAGTTCTCAATCACAGAACATTATTTCTATTCTGAATTTGCTCAAACAATTCAACATTATTTCTTGACAAAAAAAAAAAAAAGATCAAAGGAATTTAACTTATACCACTTCTAAATTTATTCCAAATTACATTGAAAATTTACATTACACACAACTTTTTAAATTCCACGTAAACAGGTTAATACTTTCACTGACTTTGTGAACTTTTCATGACAACTTCAACATACAATATGTCACTTAAACTCACAAACTACACTCCAAACACCTCAAAAAGACTTTAATCAAAGATTTAAACAAACACCACACAGATTTTATTTACAAATCTGAATTCATTCCAGAATAAATCGTTGTATTTTCTTGCGAGCAATTCTCATTTATTCTGTTTTTGGCCATAGATATAAGTGTGACAGGTAGACTCTTCGGCGGGGCCTCTCCGGGTTCCTCTCTGCTCAGAGGCAGAGAGTTCGACCGTCAAGCCGAAACGGCTCGACTTGATTCGGTATCTAGCCACCCCCACGAGGGTTGCATGTGGCACAAGGCCGAGTTTAACGTGGGTTTCCCGAGCCCGTAGGCTCGGCCAAAAAATGCCCGTAGAACCCGTATAAACGGGATCGAGTTGGTCAACCTCCCCGAACGAGACTCTGCCCTTTGGCGGAGCCTCATCTGGGTTCCTCTCTGCTCAGAGGCAGAGAGTTCGACCGTCCAGCCCAGAAGCTCGGCTCGATTCGACCCTCTCTTGAGAGGCGTAGTGTACATAGTGTTAGGAAGAGTTCATTCTGTAGCTATAGGTAAGGACCCATGACAATATTTACACTATTTACATTGTTCGGGCTGTTGTTCTCATCTTTATTGTCATATTCACGATGTTTCGGCTGCTGTACGCTTCAGCTCTCTTCAGGTAATATACGTTGGAAGGACACATAGCCCAGTGGATAAAAGCTTTGGTTCAACCTATAAGTAGGTGATCATGGCTCTCCACATTTTCCTATCTTTTGTTGCTCTAAGTAACTTTTGACTCTTTACCATCCATTTTTGTCCATGTTCTGCCATTCATTCACACAAACTCACTAGATAGGTTAATCACTGCTTCCCTCTTCCTCTCCTGCCTTCAATATATCCAGTGAGTGTTAAAATTTTTCAAATCCTCTTTCCTCATTATGCGTATCAGAGATTTCAACTACCACTTTCTAATTTTAAGTGTAAATGTCTGTTTTGTTCCCATTCTCTTAAAAACTTCCTCGTTGCTCACATGTTCCGTCCATGGTATTCTCAGCATCCTTCTGTAGGATCAAATCTATGTTGTTTCATGTCTACTCTTCATCTGTGTTGAACATGATCAGCCTTCTCTGCCATATAGGAAGACAGATTAGCTCCTTTTTGGTAGGACGAATTCACGCGGGCAACGTAACGGGTGGTGAGTGACATCAGCTCATGGGGGGGAAATCTTATTTGCTGTGTAAACCGTGAGAAAGGTAGACGTGATAGTCTATGAGGTTGAAATCTAGTCCAAACAAGAAACATAAAAACATCATCCGGTTCGTTCCTTTTTCCTTCGCGAAATATAAGACGCTCTCGATTTTCTCAGTTCATAGTGCTTGTTTTATTTTTTTTCACGTATTATAGCTTCTCAGCGTAAGAAAAATAGTAATAGGTATATACATATTTGTATATGAATTTCTGTTTGACATATCTTTGTGTAAAATCTTTTCGTGTACAATACATATTTGACATTCATTTTTTCAGCCATCCTGGTTTTTCGTTCCGCTGAGTTAAGGTGTTAATATTTCACGGATACACAAATGCTTAATATGGACATTGGAGACAGGATATAACAAAGTTATTTATTCTTTTTTCAAAAGCAGTTATTCTTTTTTTAAGCACCACACCCTTTTTTAGTTCTAAATACGACGACATCAAGTGGGCATCATTGCAGACAAGGTAAGGTAATCTTCACAATACAAATGTGTTTTTCTATACCAATTATTGCGCGCAATATTAAATGGGTTGTCAAATATCTTTTTTTAAAAATCGTTTTTTTTTATGTTATTTGAATTAACACAAATATTTTTACCGTAATCTTTTATTTTTATTTATTTATTTGTAGCACTATTCTTCCGCTACAACTTTTGTTTACCGTTTTTGAGATTTAATTGAATTCTACCTCTTTTCAGACAAATGACGATGGAGTGCCAAGGAGACAAAAATGAGCATTTTCGACAGCGCTTGCCTACACGTTGTTAAATTGAACAAAAATGCTCTTCAAGAACTTGGTTATGAAGTTCTACTGCACCCACTGTACTCTCCCGATTTAGAAAGCCTTCAGATTATCAATTTTTTTTTTTGTCACGTGAGGCTTTTCATTCAACGACGACGTCAAGTTGAAAACAAGGCTGGGTGAATTTGAAGAATTCACCCAGACAATATCCGTTTGACTTTTACCGTCAAGTCATTGAAAATCTAGTTGGCAAGAAATCATGAATAATGAAGGAGAATTTATTATTGACTGATTTTTTAAAATTGTTGATCAATAATAGGATTAAAATAAATTAAATTCGGTTGTCGAACGTCTCACATTTCGAACAAATCGTTTTTCGAACAGAAAATCCGAGATGAAAATGCCTCGGTTATCAAACAAAATTTCGGTTTTCGAACAACATTGCCGAACCGAACCAGAACGGAATTATTTCTGAGTCGACTGCCGTATTATATACATTCGTGTGT